AGCAGACCCCGTCAGGTGAGAGTCTGGGGACACGGCTGCAGGCTCAGAGCAGACCCCGTCAGGTGAGAGTCTGGGGACACGGCTGCAGGCTCAGAACAGAGCCCATCAGGTAAGAGTCTGGGGACACGGCTGGGGCTCAGAGCAGAGCCCATCAGGTGAGAGTCTGAGGACACGGCTGGGGCTCAGAGCAGACCCCATCAGGTGAGAGTCTGGGCATTTGAATTCTAGGAGTCAGAAACAGAGCTTCCAAGATGAGGGAGAAGGCACATGCCAACTGTGAAAAGAGGGGAGCAGTCTCAGGCCCCGTGGCTCCTGCCTGGGAAGAGCCCTAATTGGGGAAGGGGTGCTTATTTAAATCAACCTGTGGCTCTGACTGCCAGCAGGACTGGCTACTGCTTTACTCAACCGAAGCTCTTTGTATGAGACAAGATAAACCTGAAAAATCAAGGTTGGCCCGTGTTTTTGTCTAAGGGCAAGTGAAGAATCCAAATTTAAAGGGGCAGTGGAAAAAATCAAGTTGCTTTAAGATTACAGTCCCAAGTCTGTGTAGCTTGGGTTATACAGCCAGCCAGCTGCCTCCTCCCATCCACACATCCACGACTACACACCAAGCTACCATCTCCTTTCTCTTGGATTATTGCAATAATCCCCCATATGGCCTCCCTGTATCTACTCTTCCCTTCCTCCAGTGTGTTTCCTTACCTCTGCCAGCCTTGTCTTCCTGAAATGCAGATCTGATCAGATTACCGATCACCCTTTCCATGCCTCCCCATTCCTCTTAAGACAAAACCTCCAATCCTTCTGAAACTCAGCCCTGCTCGCCTCTCCAGCCTCATCAGCACATACCTGCTCCTCTGGCTCTCTGAGTCCCAGCCGTGCTATCTTTCAGTTCTGCAAAGGGCTGTGCCTTCCCCGCCCAAGGTCCCTCACGCTTGCTGCTTCCCTGCCAGGGGGACATCCCCCAGTCTCTACCTGCTTCCCTTACTGGTCAATTCTACTCCTTCAAGTCTTACTCATAACTTCCTCAAGGAAGCCTTCCCCGATTTCCAAGCCAGTGCTAGTTCCTCTAGTAGACTCTCATAGTATACATACCCTTCCCTTATGGCATTTATCATTGTTTAAGTACTAATATTATCATTACGGGATCTAACACTTCCACAGCACTTTTACTATGATTATAACTCCGGCAGCTGATATTTGATAAATGGTTATTATTTCTGCTTCTGTGGCTAGCATTGTGTGTGTGATAGAAAGAGAGGTGCAGATTAGTTAGTATATTGATTTTGTTAGGCACACATGGCCACATTTTAAAAAGTAGATTGTGACCTTGGTTTGATGTACTACGACTCATATAGAAAAAATTTTCATCTTAACCAGTCTTTGTGCCTCAAACGTTGCCTACTACCTGATACAGCGTGTCAACGTTGTATGTCTTCATCTCAAATTTCAGTAAGTTAAAACTTACTTTTCTATAAGGGAAACATTTGCCTACTATTAAAAATAGAATCAGCTTCCATATATTATATTTAAGAAATTCCCTTGGTCTTCAGTAATAAAATATTAAGTGAGATCTTCATTTGGTACCATATACTAAAGTAAATGCAAAGATTAAAAAGTTAAATGTAAAAACTATGCCTACTAAAAAAACCAGAAGAGGCCAGGCGACATGGTTCATATTTGGAACCCCAGTGCTCTGGGAGGCCAAGGCAGGTGGATAGCTTGAGCTCATGAGTTCACGACCAGCCTGAGCAAGAGCAAGACTCTGTCTCTACTAAAAATAGAAAAACGTAGGCAGAGGGTCTCTTGAGCCCAAGAGCTGGAAGTTACTGTGAGCTATGATGACTCCTTGGCACTCTAGCCAGGGTGACAGCTTGAGACTCTGTCTCAAAATAAATAAATTAATTAAATGAATTAAAAAACTAGAAGAAATATATATATTTCTTATCTGATATATACTTATCTGGCCTTTTAAGAAGAATGAATTTTTTAAATTAAAACTTGAAATCTCAATCTTACCTACTTAACTACATGAAAACACAAAAATGTCTATATACCATAAATACTAAGCAAAATTTAAAAGCCAAACAATAGATTAACAAAGTCACCTACCATAAATATGTACAATAAATTTTCCATATTCTTAAAATATAAAGTACTTATACAAATACATATGAAAATACTAAAACTTGACTTCTAGAGTAAGATCCTACTGGGCCAACCCTCCTGTGGATAATCACAGTAAATTCTGGGCATAATGCCCAAACCAGCTACCTGAAAGCTGAACAGAAGAGGCAAAGTCTGGGGGGACCCCTTGCTGTGGGGAGAATCGTGAGTATTGTCAATGCTTTTGGCCAAGGACTGGGCATTGCAGCGTAAGGGGTGGCAGAGGCACTAGTTTAAGAAATAAAAAAGTAGGCCTTACGACTTAGAAAACCAGAAGACCAACCCAGGTGAATCACGGCCACTGGAGAGAAGGAAGAAACCCTGGAAGGAAGGAGGCAGGGCGGGCTTCCCAAATTCTATCTCACCACACTCCTAACTGGCTACCGAACCTCAGATGCTCAGAACAGACTCAGAGGAGCTTAGCTGAACACGAAAGGTGTGAACGCTCAGGAAACAATGTGCAAAGATAATTGCCTACTAAAATGAGCAAAGTGTTCACTGGAGAAAAAATAACCCAATTCAGAGTCTCCACAATTTAACATTTCCAAAGTCCCAATATATTCCAAAAGAATAGGGCGTGAAAACAAGAAAAATGGAACATACGCTCCAGAGAAACAAAAAGCAACCGAGATAACCCAATATTGGGGTTAACACACTCCTGTTAATCACTATTTCAAAGCAATGTTAACGCCTGTTCTCTGTGAAATAAATGAAAATATGCCCACAATGCATCAAAAGATGGGAAATCTCAGAGAAATGGGCATAATAAAAAGAACTAAATGAAAATGCTAGAATAGAAAAAAAATACAATAAAAAAATTTTAAAAAATATATTTGATGGACTTAACCAAAGAACGGGAGGACAGAGAAAAGAGTAAATGAACTTAAACATAGATCACCAGAAACCCTCCAACATGAAGAACACAAAATATGCACATATTTGTAAAATGATACAAAATATACACATATTCATAAAATGAACAGAGCCTCAGAACACCTCCTAGGATACCAGACAGCCCCACGCAAAGGTAACTGGAGTCACAGAAGGTGAGGAGAAAAAAAAAAGGGACAACGGAAAAAGTATTCAAATACTT